TGGCCTCTATCAGAATCCAGAGTTTTGGGAAGATTGGAGAAACTCGAATTTCCCAAAAAAAAACGACAGTGGTACCCCTTACGTTTTTTTTTCGGGCGAAAAATTAAGTTTCTCCAATCTTCCCAAAACTCTGGATTCTGATAGAGGGCCATGAGACTTAGACCTGAGTGCAAAAATGGAGGCTCTAGCCCCTTCCAGAGCTGAGATATCGAAACTCAAAAATTCGGCCCGAAAAAAAAAACGACAGTGGTACCCCTTACGTTTTTTTTTTTCGGGCGAAAAATTAAGTTTCTCCAATCTTCCCAAAACTCTGGATTCTGATAGAGGGCCATGAGACTTAGACCTGAGTGCAAAAATGGAGGCTCTAGCCCCTTCCAGAGCTGAGATATCGAAACTCAAAAATTCGGCCCGAAAAAAAAACGACAGTGGTACCCCTTACGTTTTTTTTTTTTCGGGCGAAAAATTAAGTTTCTCCAATCTTCCCAAAACTCTGGATTCTGATAGAGGGCCATGAGACTTAGACCTGAGTGCAAAAATGGAGGCTCTAGCCCCTTCCAGAGCTGAGATATCGAAACTCAAAAATTCGGCCCGAAAAAAAAAACGACAGTGGTACCCCTTACGTTTTTTTTTTTGGGCGAAAAATTAAGTTTCTCCAATCTTCCCAAAACTCTGGATTCTGATAGAGGGCCATGAGACTTAGACCTGAGTGCAAAAATGGAGGCTCTAGCCCCTTCCAGAGCTGAGATATCGAAACTCAAAAATTCGGCCCGAAAAAAAAACGACAGTGGTACCCCTTACGTTTTTTTTTTCGGGCGAAAAATTAAGTTTCTCCAATCTTCCCAAAACTCTGGATTCTGATAGAGGGCCATGAGACTTAGACCTGAGTGCAAAAATGGAGGCTCTAGCCCCTTCCAGAGCTGAGATATCGAAACTCAAAAATTCGGCCCGAAAAAAAAACGACAGTGGTACCCCTTACGTTTTTTTTTTTCGGGCGAAAAATTAAGTTTCTCCAATCTTCCCAAAACTCTGGATTCTGATAGAGGGCCATGAGACTTAGACCTGAGTGCAAAAATGGAGGCTCTAGCCCCTTCCAGAGCTGAGATATCGAAACTCAAAAATTCGGCCCGAAAAAAAAACGACAGTGGTACCCCTTACGTTTTTTTTTTTCGGGCGAAAAATTAAGTTTCTCCAATCTTCCCAAAACTCTGGATTCTGATAGAGGGCCATGAGACTTAGACCTGAGTGCAAAAATGGAGGCTCTAGCCCCTTCCAGAGCTGAGATATCGAAACTCAAAAATTCGGCCCGAAAAAAAAACGACAGTGGTACCCCTTACGTTTTTTTTTTTTCGGGCGAAAAATTAAGTTTCTCCAATCTTCCCAAAACTCTGGATTCTGATAGAGGGCCATGAGACTTAGACCTGAGTGCAAAAATGGAGGCTCTAGCCCCTTCCAGAGCTGAGATATCGAAACTCAAAAATTCGGCCCGAAAAAAAAACGACAGTGGTACCCCTTACGTTTTTTTTTTTCGGGCGAAAAATTAAGTTTCTCCAATCTTCCCAAAACTCTGGATTCTGATAGAGGGCCATGAGACTTAGACCTGAGTGCAAAAATGGAGGCTCTAGCCCCTTCCAGAGCTGAGATATCGAAACTCAAAAATTCGGCCCGAAAAAAAAAAAACGACAGTGGTACCCCTTACGTTTTTTTTTTTTGGGCGAAAAATTAAGTTTCTCCAATCTTCCCAAAACTCTGGATTCTGATAGAGGGCCATGAGACTTAGACCTGAGTGCAAAAATGGAGGCTCTAGCCCCTTCCAGAGCTGAGATATCGAAACTCAAAAATTCGGCCCGAAAAAAAAAAACGACAGTGGTACCCCTTACGTTTTTTTTTTTTCGGGCGAAAAATTAAGTTTCTCCAATCTTCCCAAAACTCTGGATTCTGATAGAGGGCCATGAGACTTAGACCTGAGTGCAAAAATGGAGGCTCTAGCCCCTTCCAGAGCTGAGATATCGAAACTCAAAAATTCGGCCCGAAAAAAAAAACGACAGTGGTACCCCTTACGTTTTTTTTTTTCGGGCGAAAAATTAAGTTTCTCCAATCTTCCCAAAACTCTGGATTCTGATAGAGGGCCATGAGACTTAGACCTGAGTGCAAAAATGGAGGCTCTAGCCCCTTCCAGAGCTGAGATATCGAAACTCAAAAATTCGGCCCGAAAAAAAAACGACAGTGGTACCCCTTACGTTTTTTTTTTTCGGGCGAAAAATTAAGTTTCTCCAATCTTCCCAAAACTCTGGATTCTGATAGAGGGCCATGAGACTTAGACCTGAGTGCAAAAATGGAGGCTCTAGCCCCTTCCAGAGCTGAGATATCGAAACTCAAAAATTCGGCCCGAAAAAAAAACGACAGTGGTACCCCTTACGTTTTTTTTTTTTCGGGCGAAAAATTAAGTTTCTCCAATCTTCCCAAAACTCTGGATTCTGATAGAGGGCCATGAGACTTAGACCTGAGTGCAAAAATGGAGGCTCTAGCCCCTTCCAGAGCTGAGATATCGAAACTCAAAAATTCGGCCCGAAAAAAAAACGACAGTGGTACCCCTTACGTTTTTTTTTTTTTTGGGCGAAAAATTAAGTTTCTCCAATCTTCCCAAAACTCTGGATTCTGATAGAGGGCCATGAGACTTAGACCTGAGTGCAAAAATGGAGGCTCTAGCCCCTTCCAGAGCTGAGATATCGAAACTCAAAAATTCGGCCCGAAAAAAAAACGACAGTGGTACCCCTTACGTTTTTTTTTTTTTCGGCGAAAAATTAAGTTTCTCCAATCTTCCCAAAACTCTGGATTCTGATAGAGGGCCATGAGACTTAGACCTGAGTGCAAAAATGGAGGCTCTAGCCCCTTCCAGAGCTGAGATATCGAAACTCAAAAATTCGGCCCGAAAAAAAAACGACAGTGGTACCCCTTACTTTTTTTTTTTTCGGGCGAAAAATTAAGTTTCTCCAATCTTCCCAAAACTCTGGATTCTGATAGAGGGCCATGAGACTTAGACCTGAGTGCAAAAATGGAGGCTCTAGCCCCTTCCAGAGCTGAGATATCGAAACTCAAAAATTCGGCCCGAAAAAAAAAAACGACAGTGGTACCCCTTACGTTTTTTTTTTTTGGGCGAAAAATTAAGTTTCTCCAATCTTCCCAAAACTCTGGATTCTGATAGAGGGCCATGAGACTTAGACCTG